GTGACGGGGTTTTTAGTCGGGGAAGATTCTGCTTGTTCTTCGGTTTCGGGAAGATTAGAGATTCTTCTGGGTACTGTGAATCAGTGAACTGTTTCGTGAGTCGAAATCATTCTTAAAAATTGCTCTTAACACGCTCGATTACTAGGGAAGACTCTACTTATTCTTCAATTTGAGGATCAGAGATTCCTCCGAGTACTGGGAATCGGTGAATCGTTTTCGCGAGTCAAAATTGTTCGTAAAAATTGCTCTTAAAACGCTCGATTGTCAGAGAAGACTCTACTTATCCTTCAATTTGAGGATCAGAGATTCCTCCGAGTGCTGTGAATCGGTGAATCGAAGATATTTCCAAAGATCGCTCCAAGAATGTTCTATGTTCGTCCATCGAATTTCCAAGCCAGTGCTTTGTTACGCATATCTTCGTTCGGTGGTGTCGTGAAAGACCGTTGTTTTGGTGCAAGTTCGAAGAATTCGAGGATTTGGCTCGGCGAAACGAAGAAATCGAGTTGGAACGCGAGTCAGCCAACCTCTGGCTACTATGAAAAACCAATTCGGTTCTCTCAGTCTCTCTCTCTCTCTCTCTCTTTCTATCCTCCTCTCTCTATCCGATTCGGCGGCGTCGGCGATTAATTTGTCACGACGTCCGGGCACAACAATTTCAACTGTCTGCAGTCGGTACCATGATATCCGTGTGACGTGCCGCTCACAACCGGTTCATTAAAGCTGCAGCCGCTCGTCACTCATTGGCTGCCACGGGTTGCCAGTGATCGTGATGCTTGCGATAGAAAAAAAAACGAAACCGACGAGAGAAGCGGAAAAGAGAAAAAGAAGAAGGTGGGCCAAAAAGTGACGAGGAGAGACAGAGAGAGAGAGAGAGAGGGGGGACGACGTACACGGGCGATACTTTTGACGCGAGTGTTTCACCTTTCAATCATTATTATTACGAACGTCGGTGCCTCGAATGATCGCCGGTCAGGGTGAAAAAGTTGACGGACAATTAGGATATTAATGACGCGTGACGGCCTGGGAAAGTCGAAAAAAATTGTGCTAGTCGTTTATCGAGTGGAGAACGCCTCGAAGAGAGGAAGGTTGGAAACGCGGTTCTCCGTTTGGTGAACGCTCTTTCGATCGTGCCCCTTAATTTCAAGTTTATTTTTCGACTCTTTCAATTAAAATTGCATAAAATTCTGTAATCACCAGGCTGTTTAAACTGTGAAGATATAACATCTAAATTGTGCCTAATGTAGGCGTTCATTGTTGACGTCCATTTTTAAACTCTTTCAATTAGAATTGCACCGAATTCTGTAATCACCAGGCTCTCAAAATTGTGAAGATGTAACACCTAAATTGTGCCAATTGCAGCATTCACTGTTGACGCGCTGTATCGATTATATTTCTTCCTCAAATGGTCCATAATTCGGAGTCCATTTTCCGACTATTTCAATTAGAATTGCACCGAATTCTGCGAATATATAAGCACACAAAACGTGTGAAATTCAGCATTCGCCTGAGTCGTTAGAAAAGTTCAATTTCGCTCAAGTATTTCGTGGAAAAAACTAAGGACCTCGATGTGTAGAAACAAGGATCCGCTTGAGTAATCGGAACAGCTCACTGTCGACGAGACCTGCTCGTTTTTAGTCCCTCCGAGACACGGATTGTGCGAGATGCCGCTAATCCAGCTAGCCAGGCGGTCTTCTAAAGAGTGACGCGATGTATTACGTTTGCATACACGCGTGTGCTGGTAAAGTAGCGATTATTTCAAGGACTGCAAACTTGTTGCGCTCGTGGGTAACGTTGCACGAGCCTCTCTGTTCTCCTGCCTGATCCCATGTGGAGTCGTCTTGGAAATATTCACAGGCGAGTCCTGCACACGCCGTTTGTCCTCCTTCGTTTCTACCTTGCTCTTTGTTCAACCTTTATCGCCGAACGGCCACGTACAATTCCGCGAAAATGAATTCTCCGGTGAGAAGCCTGTTTCCTACGTTTCAGACACGATGTTACCTCAAATAGGGCGCAAGTTGTCACGTTTGTCGAGAAACTATCAATTTGACGAGGAGATTAATTCCATTTATCGAATTACTCGACACTTATTCACAATACAAGCCAGTTTCGGCGTGAAAAATCTCTCGATGGCAATGGTAACGAACATTAACACCGTAATCGGTAGCTGAAGTTCAGAGAATCGATCGTCGGTTAGAAACGTAGATCGGCACGAGTGGTGTGTGCAGAAATTCGAAAAAAAAAAAAGAAGGAAATTCCCTCTCGTTGATAATGAAGTTCGTTCGTCACAGCGGAACTGATCGTGAATTTCAAGTAAACGATTTAACGATGAGATTAATTATCGCGCTCGGAAGAAGATCCAGGGAAATTACAAGCCATTTGCCAGGGCTGTTGAACGTCCCCGACGGGTGTACTGTCGTTAAATTGAAATAATATTACAATTTCCTGCGGCGGCGAGCATCGCGATCGTGGAAATCCATTTCGTCGCGTTATATTTCCCGCAGTAAACGGGAACGTTAGCCCGTAGAAACGGTGGATTTATAGGTGCCGCACCGAGGCGACGATACATTCGAAGTAAACCGGTCTTCCGCGCCGCGATACACCGCTCCTTAATTAATTTGTCATTATTTAAGGAAGACGTCTCGCGATAAAATTTACCGGCGTCACGGCGCCGCGATCCCCGCCGTGTATCCACGCTCGCTCGTTCATCGTTCGATCGATTCGATATCTCGCGAGTGTGTGTTGTGTGTTCGCGAACCGCGACAGGACGAAAGAGAGAAAGAAGAAGAAAAAGAGAAAAGAAGAGGAAGAGGAACGTCTCTCTTCCCGGTCCATGCATCATTCGAAATTTTCTTCGTGCTTCCTCGATCGAATCGCGTCAAGGAACGATAGCTAGAAATCAATCTTCTCGCGCGCCTAGAAGCTGCTCGATCGTTTAATTAAAATTCTACCATGTTTCGGCGATATAATATATTCTCTCCCCTCCATTCTCTATTTCTACCACGAGATAAGAAGTCCGTTTATTGTCGAATCGTTCGCGATCCTCGACGCGCGTCAATGGCGTTTCCGGCAGTGAATTTTTCTTCAATGGAGGATCGCGTGTTCTTTTTTCTCCTAAAACTGGTTTCACCTCGTGCCTTTTTCTGCGACAAATTTTTTCTACTCGCTGAATTTTTATTCAAATCGCTGCGATAACTGCGGGATGAGTTTCGTTAGGTTGTCTGGGAAGATCGAGATTCTATTTGACACGATTAAAATTCTTAGATATATCATTTTTACGCAAAGTTACCATACTTGGTGCAATTTTTAATTTAACCCTTTAGTGACTAGTGGAACACGTGTGTCTCAATTGCATATTCCAACAAAAATTGATCCGAATTTAATATGAATTACAGACGAATTTAGTATCCACTACAGATTGGCAGATAAATAAAAAATTATTCGGTCGCGAAAGGGTTAAGCTGCAAATGGCGCGTTTCTTTACAGAGGATCGTAATTTTTTCGCGTGAAATTACGCGACGTTTCCGTGAAAAAAATCGCGATGCGTGCGAGGGTGGTTCCTGTGTTTCTTTTTTTTAATGGATCGGAAACGAAATCTCGTTAATCGGAAGCGGGCACGCTTACACGCGTCGCGGTTCACCAAGGCGTACACGGGCTCGGTTCCCGCGCACGGATGAAATTAATACGTGGTCGGCGCCGTAATTAGCGCTCGTATTTATGCGCCTCTTGCGAGGCGGGCTCCGTTAACATGGTAATAGCGTTACACCGCTGTAAACACGACATGTTATCTCGAGCGACCTGGACGAGCAAGAAATGGCGGCCATGATTTTGGTCCGAGGAAGTTACAGAGAATTCGATCGAATTTTATCTACTTTCGTTTTCGTTCAAACGTGAGAAAGTTTAGCTAGATTCTTGGAAAAATTAACGAGGATTCTTTCAATGGTTGATTTTGTACGTTACTGCGAGGACGAATCTGATGGAACAAGGATATCTTCATTTTTATATGGATTCTCTATTTTGTTTCATTTTTCTTATGTATTTGCATTTTTTTTTATCGAGGATTGAAATTTTCATTGCTATTCTAATTTCTATATGGATTCTCCATTTTACTTAATTTTTTTTATATATCTCTATTTTTTTTCTGCCCTAATAAGCCCAAAATTTGAGAACGTTTCTCGTAGAAGATGGACTGGTGGTTAATTGAATAACAGTAAAAATCCACGCACTCACGTTACTCGTTACCGCAAAATTCTCAACCAACCACTGAGAAGTTAATTATCACGTTTCAGCTACACCGTTTCCACGCCAAACTCTTTGCATTTCCAATTTATTTTCACCGAAAAGTTTCTATTTCTAGCGAAAAATCACCTTAATCAACACTCTCTACTCCATCCGTTAACCACGAGAAAATAAAACACGAATACATCCAATTACAAAGAGCAATCCGTTTAATTTACACGGAACACCGCGAATCAACCCAGATATAATTATCCTCGACTGCTTAACCGAAACACAAAACGACCGACACATCTCGTTACAGCTCGAACGTTCGAGCTAAATTAGAACACCGCTAATATAAACCATCACCGATTTTCACGTTCCACAGCTGAAATTCTTCGTTCGTCGATATTCTCCTCCCAATTTGTAAAACGAACAAAAATCTTATATTCCACAAAATCAACACCGCCATCACAATTAACTCTCGACGAGATCCACCAACACACGAATATAATAAACGAATCGAATTCTCGCCGGTGGTTTCCAGTTCACGCAGTATCCAAGGTGGTAGAGGAGATCGAAGAAGAAGAAGCGGCCGGTGGTCCCCGGGTTTAGCCGCGCGCGCGCGCGCGCGCGGATCGTGAGAATCCACGAAATTTCGAACCGGCGCGGCGTCGGAGCTTGTAAGACACGCACGAAAATGTTGGGTCGCGACATCGAACACGGAACAGACGGCTCGAGGGACCGGCGCGAACGGTTTGCATCGAGAGATTAAAGAACATCGAATGGACGTGGGCGATTTGTCGAGCTCGGCAGGATTGGCTGGGAGCGGATCCATCCCTGGAGCAACGGGTGTTGGTATCATTACAAGTACGACATCCGCCACCGCAGGGTGGTGGACGCCTACGTCGACGATCGCCACGGCAGCGGCCAACACCGACGTGGTAAGTTCCTTCTCCTTCTTTTTCTTCCCCCATGATTTCGTGTTCCTTTTTTCTTCGACTCCGATGGCGTATGTCGTTCGAGTTGTCGAACCCGGATTCGACGCGTGTTCGGCTTCGGGTAATTTGTACGGGTGATCCTTTCATTTTTTACGTGATTCGTGCGACACTGAGTATTGTTTGTGAGTATTAGGTCGAGATGGGAAATTGTTGTTCCGTACAGGGAAATATTTGTTGCTTTTTAAATGTTCTGTTTAATCGGGTGGGTTACTCCTTGATTTTTGGCAATTCATGCGACACTGATGTTTGTTAGTATAATATTCAGGCTGGTATGTGAAATTGTTGTTTATAACAAGGAAGTTTGAATGATATTTCGTGCTTTTTAGGTATTTTGTTTAATTAATGTAACTGACGAAGTTTGAGTTTCTGTAATATTTTTCTTCGGATTCTATGGAGGGTTGAAAAATTTCGGGATTTTGTCGACGAAAAATAGCTAAATCGTCTTTTATCATATTTGCACGTGATATTTTTCGAATCGTTCTCGATTCTGTCGAGGGTCGTAAAATTTTGGGATCGAACAGTGGACTTGGTTGGCCAAAAATTGCTAAATTGTTTTTTCTCATTTTTGCAAATAATCTTCACCGTAAATAAAGGAATTTTCGAACTACCCACGATTGGCAATTTCACGTGTACCAATCTAATATTAGGATATTTAGTATGTTCCTACAAAAAAGTGATTATATTAGCTACCTCACGTGAGCAAAAATATGTCTGTTTCTTATAGCTCAAGACATTACACAGTGGATCGTTTTTTTCGAGATCTTAATTACGGTCGTAATGAATGTTCTGATTTACTTTACATTACGAACGACAGAGTGTATGCAATGATTTAGTAGTACGTAACGCAAGATCGTAAAATTGGCAAACTTTTTTGCAGCGAAAGACGTAATTCGTTCGTGTTGTTTCTAATTTAAGTTACGATCTCGGTGGACTGGTGAACAGAATATACCGAGTGCAAGGTTACTTAAAAAACCGTGTATAGTTTTATCGGAGTATTTTCCTTTCTTTTTGCTCTGATAATGTAAATGCATTTACGTGGATGGTTTTTTCAATCGGTAATTGCTCCGTGAAAAAAAATTACACATCTGTAACACTGCTTTACGTAATCGTGTAATAATAAAAACAGAAACGAACATACTTCGATACGCGTTACAAGAGATTTCAAATGAACGTGTCACCAAAGGAACGACTTTATCGGAGATCTCTCGTCGATCACGATTCGAGAAAGAATAACGTAGCTTTTCTTAGCCTGGTTCCATCGGTGACTCTCCGAAAATCTCCATCTTTGGGTTTTAACAAGATAAATTTCACTCTTGAAAGAAACGCGACATTTTTACTCTCAAATGAAGGCTACCCTAATATTCGACCGTAAAATAAGAAATTGTGAAAAGGGAATGCTTAAAAATTTTTAAAGCACTTCAACTTCATCTGAAACACCTCTTAATCTACAATTCTCCAGTCTCGATCACCCGGAGCATTTTTCAACCCTTAACGCGAATTACTCGAAAAAATCCTATCAATTCTATGCACTGTTCGCTAGCACCGAACGCAAAAATGGAAGTGCAATAAAGGCACCGTTGTTCAGATAGACCTACATATCGCGGTGGCGTCGCGGCGAAAAAGAAGAAAGAAAAAAAGAACCGCCGCTTCGAAGCGTGCGTGCGTGCAAGAGGCGAATCATCAGGCGTATAACGCGAGGAAAAAGATCCTCGGTTGGCACGCTACTTTCATTTCTTCGTCGAGTGCCATTCGTCATCGGCATTACCTTCGCGGCGTTACTTAATGAGACGTCCCCGCGGATGCGGGTGTGCGATTAAGCGGTCGAACAGGGTCGAATATCACCGCACGCCGGTCAAAGAAGCTTGCCGGGAACGACACACGTTCGTCGGACGAAGTTCGTCTTTCTCCACGCGTGAACAAACGAACGTGAACGAAGTCACGAGAGGATGGAACGAGGCAGATAGAGAGAGAAGGAGAGAGAGGCCATCGAGAGGCACACGAAGAAACATTATTTAGTTCCGTTGGAGTACCAGCGGCCAGCCAGCCGCGGTAGAGTGCAGGGATTAGAACCGAGGTGACACAGCCGCCGTCATCTGTTGGACGTTTAACCTTTTTTTACCTGGCTCGGGCCGCGCTTTTGCCGGCCGTTCCCACAAGAAGCCATCAGCCGCCGTCTCACCCAGATACGGCGTACTCGGTGAAACGGGAAATCATTTTTGATACGAGACGCCAAATGAACTTTCTTCCTTACGCGTTTCAGACAGCGAGAGGAGACTGTTCGTCGCCTTGAAGAGCGCGGGGTGAGCTCTTCGAGGTGAATTAATCGCGCTGGGAATTGCTGGTTAGGGTGTACGACATTAAATGAAATTTTAATTGCTCTTCAATTGGTGTAGTTACTTTTGGTAGACAGCAGGAGAGAGAATTTTTAACCCTTTGAAACCTGAGCAATTTTTGCTTAATTCTCGTTGGAGAAATATTGTAGTAAAAAAGTATTAACACGCTGACTGAGACGTTGGCGATCGGAGGGCCTCAAATGTTTAGAATAATTCAAATAAAATGAATATCGTCGACTGAAAATTTCCAACATCATAGCTAACTATTTAGACATTATTTTGAATTAAAAAAATAACAATAATAAAGAATAATACAGTACTACGCTTGGAATAATGAAAATCTCACGCGGCAGTCGACGTGCTAAATAAACAGGTATCGATGAAAATATAAATGTAAATAATTAAATACAAATAGATATTAATGAAAATGTGAAATTGCAATTTTAATAATATACTAAACAAATATCTTTCACTTAATATCGTACAATACCTGAAAAAAAGATATTCATCGTTGTGATATACGTACGACACACGTCTCTCCCTCGTCAGCCATGTTCAATTAAATCCAGCGATATCCAAAGAAGACTGACGCTATTATTCCAACTCTTGAAAGCTCTCGTCGACACAGTTTCGCTGTTTCACGACGGGCAAAGCACAGCCGATGGTAAACACAGCGGCATCAAAATCTGAAACAACACGTCAGTTTCTCACAGCATCAGATCCTCTAATTACTTTTCTTAATCCTTGTTCGCTGTCGATCATCTCGTCCAGCTCGTCAAGACACCTTTTCACGCGTAACCGATTACCACATTACATTCCACCACGCTCCAACAATCTCGGACACGCAATGTCTAAGCAAAAGATGGATCAGATTCTTCGCGAGCAGAACGTCAAGTTGTGCTTCTCTCCTCTGTATGATCGTCTCGATCCCACGAGAGATCTATACCGTAGTTACCGTACGGCAGAGGATATACCTTTATGCATACCGAACGGTCGGTTAAAAAGAGAGAAAAAATCGAATTCTAAAAATATTTCGAAACATCCACGGCGGACCTTTGGCCCCGGTTATTCCGAGAGGTTCTCTCTCTCTCTCTCTCTCTCCTCGAGAGATCACGCACGCGAAGCTGACGTAATATTATTTCGACGCTGTCTGACGAACGCCCCCTTTTACCATCGACCGTTGCGCTTCTTCGTTGCGAAACCGTAAACTATTTAGCATCGATACACCCTTCTCGTAGATCACGAATCGATTCTCTCTCGCGTGGTTCTTCGTTCACGCGCACGTCCACCTTCGATTTTACCTCTCACGCGCGTCGCCTAACCTTTCTTATTCAAGTTTCTCGCGATTATACGGTTTTACGTTCATTTTTCACGCAGGATTTTTCAATCATTGTTCGGTTACGGTAATTGAAGACTGGATGGGAAAAGTCTGTACATAAGTGGTGGTAATAAAAATTTCGAGATGATAACTATTATGGAATGATTATTCTTTCACGTAGAAGCACTTGCAATTAAAGTTACCGATTGCGAACGTTTCACTTATTTTATCGATATAATTTTAGAAAATTTGATCTTAGAGTGTCACTTCTCATTAGGAGAAAAATTGAAGGGCTGTTTGAGAGTAGTCTCACTTAAGATTAACCCTTAACCCCAATTGCAAACTTCAAGAAGGTTTAATTTCATTTCAATTTAGAAAATAATTATTTACAATGAATAAAAGCAATTTATTTGACGAAGAAAACTGAAGATTCAAATTTTGTAGAGATTCTTTGATCCTCCCTTGAGCTATCTATGTAGGGTTAAATGCTACGATTCAGGCAACCGTAAGTAACAGAGTAGACACAAAAAAGGCGTAAAATTCACAATAGCTCAATTAACAAAACGAGCACCTATCTGTTTCCTAAGAAAAACTGAGACTAAAATTGATACGCCCTTTGCATGGCTCGCGAAGAACGGAGCAACAATTCTTCTCGAATCGTATGCACGTTCTCCCGTCGTCCACGTATGATTTTACCTTTCAAGTGTCGGTCATCCTTTCTCGTTGGATCGTCGCCTCTAAACCTGCGCGTTCTACACGCTGCAGAGCCCGTAATGACTGGCTAACTAGGTTTTAATAGGAACATGGTCTCGCAACCAAATCCCCGGCTGTTCTTGCATCCTCCAGAGAGAAGGCAAGAAAACGTCCCCTTTTTACCGTGACTGCGTCGCTTTTCGAGCGTGAACACACACACACACACACAATCTTTTCTCTTTTTCTCTCCCTCTCTCTCTATCACGAAGATTCTCAACCTTGCGAGCATATGATCGGTGATTGGCGATCGACGTTACGCTCGATTCGAACGGAATCGATCCAATCATTCACAGATCCTTTCCTCGATCGACCGATAAATCACGCGAAACCATCGAAAATTTTTCTAGAAACACACTCGTCTTTACTTTTAATCGTTCGCCGCGAGGGTTCAGGTTGGACGCGAAAACGTCGCGGGATACGCGGATGTCCCTATCGAACGGTGCTTGTTAAACATCGAATGATTAATCCTACGTGGCTAAACTGTGTCCCGTGATCGTCGTTGAAATAAATAGCGTTAGCCAGCGGGAGCACTTTGGATAGAAGCATTCGTCGGTGCTTCTTATCGTATCATTTGCTTATGTCTATAGGATTAATTCTTTTTTCCTTCTTTTTTCATTTCTCTCGTTCGTTCTTTATTCTTTTTTTTTGTCATCGTCGCTGACTGTTTTCTTTTCTTCGTCCTGTATCTCTCTCTCTCTCTCTTCGTCTATGCTTGGAGAATCGTCAGAGACGAGCAAGAAACGCATCCATGATTGGCACATATTGCGCGTGCTTGCAGCATGATCACCGCTGCATTCTAAGCGTCTTCGGTTTCTTAGCCGAAGCGTAACCACATGTCGCATCTTTTTGTTGCAGATGAATCAGCTCTGCAGGGTCTGCGGAGAGCCGGCCGCGGGTTTTCACTTCGGGGCCTTCACGTGCGAAGGTTGCAAGGTCAGTATCCACGGAGAACCCTTTGCTCTCTTTAGATCATCATCAGACCGACGGAAAAATTCAATGGCCGTTTATATTCTCGCATCTTTCGCATCTCTCACCCCCGTCTCTCTCTTTCTCATGTCCTCTTCTCTTTTCTTTTCTCTCCCTCCCTAGGGCAGGTACCCGCGAATGCAAATAAAATTGTAGCCTCAAGCGTGCAGACGCGTGCATCATCCTCACGTTACAATTACCGGGCACTGTACCGACCGTGTTGACCCACGGGTCTCTGGTTTCACGTTTCTCGTAGAAAGTTCCAATGTTTCGGAATTTTCGTTAAAATCCATCGATTGTACGTACACCGTTCACCTTTTCCACGTGCTATCTCTCGTATCGATTTTCTCCACGCCATTTTTTCCCGGTGAA